ATATATATATATATATATATATATATATATATATATATATATATATATATATATATATATATTTTACTTTGATCAACTATTTTACCCAAAAACTATAAATACCTAAACATACTCCTTTTGCATTTCAGGGTTGACGATGATCAAATGAAATCCCTTTTCGGAACCATCGCCACCGACAAGCCATCGCCATCACAAGAATCCACCACCTCACCGGGGAAGGGCGGCCAGTCTATGATTTTCCTACTCGACACCAGAAAATCTCAAAACATAGCAATCGTTCTTAAATCCATCGCCATTTCTAGACACAAAATCATCGAGTGTCTACAACAGGGTCATGGCCTCGACATCGACACCCTCGAAAAGCTCAATCGAATAACCCCATCAAAAGAAGAAGCAACAATCATCCTCGAATTCGAAGGAGACATCACAAAATTGGCCGATGCTGAATCGTTCCTCTATCATATCCTCAGATCTGTTCCCTCTGCTTTCACTCGATTCAGCATCATGCTGTTCAAATTGAACTACTATTCAGAAGTATCAGACCTCAATAACTCGTTACGAACCCTAGAAGCAGCTTGCAAAGAGCTCAAAACTCGAGGGCTTTTCGTTAAGCTTTTAGAAGCTGTTTTGAAAGCCGGGAATCGGATGAATGCAGGAACTTCAAGAGGTAATGCTCAAGCGTTTAATCTCAATTCTCTCCTGAAACTCTCAGACGTTAAAAGCAGCGATGGAACGACTACTTTGCTTCACTTCGTCGTCGAGGAAGTCGTCCGATTAGAAGGGAAACGCTGCAATATCAACAGAAGCACCGGTGGATCTAGTGGCGCTGCATTTACAGAGAGTTATTACATAAAGCTAGGGTTACCGGTGGTCGGAGGAGTGAGTTCGGAGTTTTGTAACGTGAAGAAAGCTGCCGGAATCGAGTATGACGCCTTTTCGAAAACATGTTCGGGGTTGAGAAACCATTTGGCGGAAATCAAGAAAAGTATGGAAGAATGTGAGGGTGATGGTGGTTTTGTGAGAGAAATGGGGAGGTTTCTTGAAGAAGCGGAAATGGAGATTGAAACGTTGAGAGAAGAAGAGGAAAGAGTTATGGGGGTTGTGAAGATGACGAATGAGTATTATCAAGCAGGGGGTTCGAAGGAGTTTGAATTGTTTGTGATAATAAGAGCGTTTCTTGAAATGGTTGACAAGGCTTGTGTTGATATTGCTGTAAAATTGCAGAAGAGAAGAACTGGCGGTGGGTCACCGGAGGCGGGGAAGAGGGCGGAGGTAAAGTTTCCGGCGTTGCCTGCAAATTTCAGGATTGGTACAAGTAGTGGTAGTTCAAGTGATTCGGATTAAAGTATACAACGAAGCATTGGAGCTGACAAAATGTACATAGCCAAACATGGTGTCCACCCGTTTTTGCATTCTTCAAAATTCAAACAGTGATTGATTATTAAAAGAAAATACAGTAAATAATCTCATTTATTTTAATTTACCGAAATAACAGCTACTTTTAAAATATTGTATTTGAGATTTGAGACTAAATTAAATTTGTTTAGTAAGGCATTTGGAAATTGGAATTACAAATGTTTTATTTTTGAGATTTTCTAATGCGTCACATAATTGCATATATAACATAAGAAATATTAATTACGTGAAATATTTACTATAATTAAATATGAATTGCATTAATTGTAAATAATACATTTCTTGTTGCGCATTCGGTCTCCGAGAGACTAAGAATAATCATACATGAATGTGGTTTGGGTAGCCCGGAACACCTAACGTGAATACACAATCAATTCGTAAGTCACCGACCAGGAAGCTTTATCAAATCGACACTCTGATGCTAAAGTTAGTAATGTTATATTTGACTTATCGAAATTAATTGTGTGTAATGGAATATTGGATGTATCTTACAATTTCCTGTATTATACTTGAGTTCGTGGGAACTATCATCTTCCGATATTGAGCAGATTTCGAGTCTTATCACATTTTTTGTTCATAAGACCGAAGGTACATATGGATGTACTTTTTCTATCATTAACCGTCACATTTCGTTAACCGTAGGTGTTGTCATCAATCGAGTATATCACAGGTTGTTTTGTTTATAGTTCTAACGTATCGATCTTTTCTTTAGTTCAAGAATCAAATTGATCCTATGTATGACTTAATTGGTTTGGTTGTCAGGACATATATATATATATATATATATATATATATATAT